GCTGCGCTTTAAATGAGGTCAGTGCCATGAGAGGCCTGCACCATATGACATGTCTGGGCTTTATGAGGTCAGTGCCATTAGGTCTGCACCATTATGACATGTCTGGACTTTATGAGATCAGTGCCATGATGAGGCCTGCACCATTATGAGCTGTCTGGGCTTTATGAGGTCAGTGCCATGATGAGGCCTGCACCATTATGAGCTGTCTGGGCTTTATGAGGTCAGTGCCATGATGAGGCCTGCACCATTATGACATGTCTGCGCTTTATGAGGTCAGTGTCATGATGAGGCCTGCACCAGTGTGACATGTCTGGGGTTTATGAGGTCAGTGCCATGATGAGGCGTGACGCATTATGAGCTCTCTGCGCTTTTTGAGGTCAGTGCCATGATGAGGCCTGCACCATTATGACATGTCTGGGCTTTATGAGGTCAGTGCCATGATGTGGCCTGCACCATTATGACATGTCTGGGCTTTTTGAGGTCAGTGACGTGTTGAGACCTGCACCATTATGACAAGTCTGGGCTTTATGAGGTCAGTTACGTGATGAGGCGAGACCGATTATGAGCTATCTGGGCTTTATGAGGTCAGTGCCATGATGAGACCTGCACCATTATGGCATGTCTGGGCTTTATGAGGTCAGTGCCATGATGAGGTCTGCACCTTTATGACATGTCTGGGCTTTATGAGGTCAGCGTCATGATGTGGTCTGCACCATTATGACATGTCTGCGCTTTATGAGGTCAGTGCCGTGATGAGGCCTGACGCATTATGAGCTCTTTGCGCTTTATGAGGTCAGTGCCATGATGAGGCCTGCACCATTATGACATGTCTGGGCTTTATGAGGTCAGTGTCATGATGTGGCCTGCACCATTATGACATGTCTGGGCTTTATGAGGTCAGTGACGTGTTGAGACCTGCACCACTATGACAAGTCTGGGCTTTATGAGGTCAGTTCCATGATGAGGCCTGCACCATTATGACATGTCTGGGCTTTATGAGGTCAGTGCCCTGTTGAGGCCTGCACCATTATGAGCTGTCTAGGCTTTATGAGGTCAGTGCCATGATGAGGCCTGCACCATTATGACATGTCTGCGCTTTATGAGGTCAGTGCCATGATGAGGCCTCCACCATTATGACATATCTGGGCTTTTTGTGGTCAGTGACGTGTTGAGACCTGCACCATTATGATAAGTCTGGGCTTTATGAAGTCAGTGACGTGATGAGGCGAGACCGATTATGAGCTATCTGGACTTTTTGAGGTCATTGGTATGATGAGACCTGCACCATTATGACATGTCTGGGCTTTATGAGGTCAGTGCCATGATGAGTCGTGACGCATTATGAGCTATCTGGGCTTTATGAGGTCATTGCCATGATGAGACCTGCACCATTATGACATGTCTGGGCTTTATGAGGTCAGTGCCATGATGAGGCCTGCACCATTATGACATGTCTGGGCTTTATGAGGTCAGTTCCATGATGAGGCCTGCAACATTATGACATGTCCGGGCTTTATGAGGTCAGTGCCATGATGAGGCCTGCACCATTATGACATGTCTGCGCTTTATGAGGTCAGTGCCACGATGAGGCCTGCACCATTATGACATGTCTGGGCTTTATGAGGTCAGTGCCATGATGAGGCGTGACGCATTATGAGCTCTCTGCTCTTTATGAGGTCAGTGCCATGATGAGGCCTGCACCATTATGAGCTGTCTGGGCTTTATGAGGTCAGTGCCATGATGAGGCCTGCACCATTATGACATGTCTGGGCTTTATGAGGTCAATGACGTGTTGAGACCTGCACCACTATGACAAGTCTGGGCTTTATGAGGTCAGTGACGTGATGAGGCGAGACCGATTATGAGCTATCTGGACTTTTTGAGGTCATTGCCATGGTGAGGCCTGCACCACTATGACATGTCTGGGCTTTAGTGAAGCCAGGTAACACCTGAAACATGAATTTAGTAAAGCAATGTAAGGATTAGAGAGAGTTAAGCACAAATGCAAGCTTTCAGCATAAGCACATAGGGCTCAGTATTATGAAATAGCGGAGACAGTAAATCCACCAGGATACGGGACACCCTGACATAGAAGAACATAAACCTGTACAGAAAATGCTAGCACACACAAAAAAGGACATATGGAAGAAAACAAAGAGAGATAAGAAAAGGGACACGCCAAGAAATCAGGGACTTCTGCCAGACACTGGGAATCCCTGCCAAATGCACGAGGAAACTACCCAAATTAGGGAAGGTTCAAAAGTTTAAGAGGAGGATGATGGTGAGGACAGCAGGTTCATGATGAAGGAAGAACGGAACGACCACCAAAGTTCTCCCCAAATTGAAGACCACACCTCTAACTCCGCCTCAACTCCGCCTGTTATGAATATTAAAAGTAGATGTTGCAATGTAATGAATATTCATAATATGTGATGTAATTGCTTAGCAAAAAGTGTATAAAAGCTCAAATTGTAAGTTCCTCGGGGAAGCGGTTTGTCCAGGGCGACCTGGTCGCTTCCCGGCCGTGAAAATAAATACCTCCTGCTTATAGACTGAAAACTCTGTCTCTGAGCAGTCCCTCTACGCCTTCTTTGGGGCATAAATTTGGCATCAATCTTGGCGAACCAGGCAGGAGAGGGGGTTCTTCCTGAGCCAGGACCCAAGGGGCCGGGACGCTCTCGGGGCCCCCCGACTGAATTATTGTCGGTAGAGTCTCCCAGACCCCTTGGATCTGCGCAACGGTGGACAAGAACCTCCTGCTCCAAATTAAGAGGTATTTGATCTTTTATATTTTAGGTAAAAGCGCTTTATTGGTGGGGATAGGACGCTATCGCCCAAAAGGGAGCCGGAGGGACGCCTCGGCATTAGCCCTAAAACTGGGTTTGAGTCCCAGGTATCGGAAGCAGCAGGTTAGAGTCCTGCAGAAGCAGCAGGTTAGAGTCCTGCCAGAAAAAGGGTTAGAGTCCCGACACTGCAGTGTAAGAATTGTCTTTACTTTGTGATGTTGAATTTACCTTTTATGCTTTTGTGTTGTGTCTGAAACTGTTCCTACTTTGATTTCCTTGTTCACTTTCTGTTCTATGTGAAGTATTGACTGATAGTGCATTTAAACTGTGCTTGATTCAAAATTTTAACAATTTTTAGCCTTTCCGGGACTGCTGGAGGATTTGAGAGTACTCCTAGGGGCTTTAGGACCCAGGGAGTTCCTTGTACTATTAGAGAATTCCTAGAATACAGCAGTTAGGAATGATATATTGAGAGTTTCTCTTGCGAACTGTTCTGGTTTATATCAACGAGTAAAAGAAACTATAACATGCTATTTGAAACTTAAAGGTACAGAAAAAGCTCTATCATTAATCTTAATCACTGTTCGTAGTGGTTTATTCGTCTTTTAAGAATTATGTATGTTGCTTTGTAGAATGTTTTTGTAATATGGTGCATTTCGTAAGACGTCTTACAACTCTATATGGGAAATGATTGCGATCTCAGTTTTGTAAAAGTGAATAAGCTGTTGCCAGCGCGCATAAATCCTAGGATTAAGATTTGTCCTTTCTGTTACTGCTCGCTGTATGTTAGAGCCTTGTGCAACAATTGTGGTAAATATATTTTGGGTCCAAGAGGAACACAAGAAATAGCACTCAATCGGACTCTTAGCTTTTATTGCATACGCTGCTGGTCAAATCAAGATCTGGCAGAAACCAAGTGGTTAAGATTCTATTGCCGCCGCACTCATAGACAAGTATTTGTAACGTCCTGGTTGCACTTTCTGTAAGAAGTGTGTTTTAGTTTACAGCGGTATCCTGTGATTTTGTGATAACGTAGATCGGACAGCCAACAGCAAACCCATATTTCACGGTCTGCGGCACCCTCTCGCGGCTCTGCTTGGTGACGTAGATTGCTCAGATAGAAACCTGAAGGTAGGAAAGTTTTTATATCGAGCGTGCAAGTGTGCGAGTGTGTGGGTGAGTGAGACGCGGCATCGCTGCGAGGCGAGAGGGAGTCCTGCTCTGCGGTTCCTGTTCTCCGCGAGGAGGCAGGCCAGAAACGGACGAAGTGACTGGAAATTGCGTACATGAGGTGTTGGGACAAAGTAAGAAACACTTTGAGACGGTGGAATAGAATAAGGAAGGTATTGCGGTTCAAAGTGCAGTTCGCTAACATACCGAAAGCTACTCAGCTAGGACACATTAGTGGAAGCTTAGCCCGGTTGGATATAGAAGCACGAATCCAGAGACAAGAATTGCTTGATATAATAGAGTATCACATAAGAGAATTCATAGCAGAATTAGAAAAGGAAGGTGACAAGTTAGGATACGATCCTCTAGTGGTAGAGAATTTCCTTGACTGGACACTAGTCTGGGAACACGATCCCCAGGTCAGTTGGTACATCACTGACGCTCGAGTAATAAGAAAATCTGGTAAGACACCCTATAGGTTTGCCTGGTAAATCCCTCTGTCTCTCATAAAACCTTATCAATCGCTACATAACTTAAACCTTACGATAATAATGGGAACCCAGCAAAGTAAAGACATAAATATGAAAACCCCTCTGGGATGCATCTTAAAACACTGGAGAGATCTAGGGGGGGCCCCAGGAGGAAACATAAGCAAAAAGACACTCTTAAAATACTGCACGCAATGGTGGCCTCTGTATAAACTAGATGATGACGAAAAATGGCCACCTGAAGGGACAATAAATTACAACACTATTTTACAGCTTATGTTGTTCCTCCGTCGACTGGGCAAGTGGGATGAAGTGATTTATTGCGATATGTTTTTCACGCTCAGGAATAAGCCTGAGTGACAGAGAGAATGCGGAGTAAATGTTGCACCGCAGGACCCCTTGGTTTTAGCCTTGGAAAAGGATAAGAAAAATTTGAAACCAAAGGAACGCTGTTGTGATGCCTGCAGTATCGGACAACAGTGCCTTAAATTAAAAAGAAGGGACAGTGAAGAAGAAAGTAGAGTAAGCCTATGGGAGTATCAACCGTTTGCTCCAGGATACGGGATACCACGACCAAAGCGGAGAGAAGGGGAAAGAGACACTAGCCTATTAGGAGATATTTCACTGGAGCTAGGAAGATTTAGGACTGGGTATAGTCCTCAAAAATCAAAAGACAGTTGGGAAGAAAGTAGCCCATCAAAATCGGAGAGCCCCCAAGGAGAAAGCAGCTCGCAGGGACTGAGTAGTCCACAGGGGTCAGAAAGTTACAGAGAGGAAAGCAGTCCACCTAGATCAGAGGTCGATAGGGAAAAAAGCAGCCCGATAAGACCAGAGGGTCACGGGGAAGAGAGTAGTCCGCCTAAACCAAAAGACGACAGAAATAGAGATAGCAATACACCAAGAAAAGGAGATAGCATCTATAGAGTGGAGAGTAGCACACCAAGAGCTGATTATGAGGGTGAAAGTAGCCCATTGAGACCAGGGGGCAATGAAAAGAAGAGTGATTTCCCCAAAATAAGATGCAGTAAAGAAGATAGTGACATTATAATTCAAGAGGAAAAGGAAAACAATTCACAAAGATTAAACATAGTGATTCAAATAGACGATAAAAGGGATACCAGAGAGATAGAGGAAAATGAGGAACGCAGCCCCGGGCAGGCTGAGCGCCGACAGCGTCTCCTCCAAACCCAGAGAGAGAGGCGGCTGGACTGTGTGAATCATGCCAGAAGGTTGGCAGAAGATGACTGGGCAGGAACGGGGAGTGAAGATGAGGAACCGAAACAGAGAAAGAGAAAGGAAAAAAGAAAGAATAGAATAGATACCGGGGCCCAAGAAGAAGACCCTGAGGAAGGGACTAGTCACCTACACTATACTAGATCTGTAGCACGAAAAGAGGCAAGAGAAAGGATAGAGGGAAGTCATACAATAGCTCCCCTCCGACAGATAATGCCTATTGCAGGAGACCAGGGACGAGTAAAGGTGCCATTTACAACAAGTGATTTGAACAGCTGGAGAGAAGAAGCCCGGAATTTTAGGAAAAATCCAGAGGGGGTAGCTAAGAGGTTCGAGTTAATTGCAAAGAACCTAGACATTGACTGGAGTGATATAGAAGTAATGCTATCAGAATTAACAGAAACAGAAAAGGAACTAGTATTAAAAACAGGGAGAGATCATGCCAGCATGCTCCCTGAAGAGTTAGAAATTGTATTTCCAAGTAGAAATCCGGAGTGGGATCCAAACAACCCCGATTCTTATGGGAAACTGGTGCAATATAGGAAGCTAATAGCATTAGGTTTGCGGAA